CTCTTGTTCCTGGAGAGCTGATTTCCCTCTGTGTCCTCATGCAGAGGAAGGGGCAAGGGAGCCCTCTGGGGAATCTTTCGTAAGGACACTATCTCCATTTATGAGAGCTCTACACTCATGACCTAATCACCTCCCAAAGGCTCCATTTCCTAACACCATCACATTGGGGGTTAGGACTGCAACATATGAATTTGGGGGAAACATGAGCATCCCGTCCATAAGAGGCCCCAAGTACCCCAAATGAGGGAGGAAAGAGCCCTAGGTGGGTGATGTGTGCTCTTGATCCCTGGAATAGGACATCATTCACTCACATCATAGGTGCCCAAGGCTTTCTCAGCTGGTCCTCTGTGCACCCCGTACCAGGAGCCACAAAGCAGCATTGGGTGCCTAGAAAGCCTACTGCCCAGCCCCAGCTCCATGCACCTGCCACTCAAAGTGGGGGTCTGCCCTGAACACACTTCGTGCCCTCAACAGTCTCAAAGACATTCCAAGGCTAAGATGCTGGGTCTGACTTCTCTAAAGACTTTGCATCTGGGAACCAAGGTCTCCAACTGCCTCTGTTTCTGGGAACTTTCTCTGTCCAGCTGCCCACTTTGTATCCCTTCCCAGAACAAGGCAACTCGCTCTACCCTCTGCAGCTTCCTACCCTGCTCAGACTCGGCCATCCTGCGTCCTGGGGCTGGCCACATGTGCACTCCTAACCACTCCTCCCAGGGCCGAGCTGGCCCCCAGAGTAGATCCAGCCCAGAGGTTTGAGCTGCCAACCAAGCACTGTGCCTGCTCACCCCTGGGTGGACCCTGTGAGGCGCAGCCCAGGCCCGCCTCCAGTGAAGATGTGCTGCCCAGCTGCCCTCAGGCCCTCAGCACAGGGAGCTCCCTATCCAAGGTCATGCCCCTTCCCAGGCCTACATCTGAGACTGGGCCACGTGGGGTCTGCTAGCCTGGGGTCTCATTCTAACTCGGGCTGACTCCAAACAGACCTCATAGCTGCAGAGGTCTCCTGGGGTTGGCTGAAGCTGTCATTGGTCCTGTATCCCAGCTCATGTTCTCCCCCTGCCCCGACTGCATCCGTCCCCTCTCTCCACAGGTGTTGGTCCCCACGGCACTTCTTAAAAAACTTCCCACATGCTAAGCTCCATCTCAGGGTCAGCTTTTCAGGAAACCTGACCTGCAGGGCGCTCTGTGGCTCCAGCCTGGGGTGGAAGCCAGGACTTCTTGAGAGTACAGAGTGGTGTTAGGAGGAGGTGTGGGTGGCAGGAGGGCCTGTGAGCACCACTGGAACCCCACAGTCCTGGCCACTCACACCACAGGCCTCAGGATGCCCCTGTGTACCCACGGGTTAGTGAAGCTGATGGTGGGGGGAAGGGGGGGTGCTTCTAAGGAGGGGCTCAAGGGACCCGCTCACCATAGTCACTCCTCCTTTATCCTTTTACCTATCAGACCACCATGCCTGCCATGTAAATTGCTGTTGTAGTTTTTTTTAAGTTTAGAAACCACACACCACATGCAAGGCGTGCAGCTGGTGTGGGTTCATGAATTGCCCCGTTCTCCACTCCCCAGGTGTTCATGGGTCTCTCAGAGAGGTTGTGAGCCCCTCTTCTGTCCTTCTTGTCCCACGCAGCAGTGGACGCACAGTGGTTGCTCAGAAATACGATGCCAGTTAAACTGAAGTTGAAAGTGGTTCTGTCCACAGACAGTACAGGGCACTTGCCATCAGGACCACAAGTACCACGGACCACTGGGAAGATGTCACTTCCTTTCCACCTGCCTGGAAAGGAAGCGAGCTTGTGTGTCCAGAGGCCAGATGAAGAAAACCCCGCGGGATTGTTCGGGGAGGATATAGAGGAGAGTGACCAGACTCAGGGAGGTGGGAGCACCAGCCCCCCAAGCCTGGGAAGGTACAGGGCGGTCACGGTTCCCAAGAAGAGACAGGACAAGACTCTGCTCCCCCACAGAGTGCCAGGATCACTGAAGGGAGCCTCAGGCCTGAAGGAGAGAGAACACTTAACACTGAAGTCTCAGGGGCTACAGAATGAGCTTCAGGCCCAAGTGTGACACGGACACCTCATCGAAGGGCCTGATAAATGGACACGGTGGCTGTGAGCACCAGGTGTAAAAAGCAAGAGGTGGCTGTGAGTGTGAGCTGAGACCCAGAGGTCTCTGCAAATAGTGTAGCCATCAAGGGACACCGCCCCTAGGACTTATGCAGGGTCCCAGGAGAGGGATGGAGCCCCAAATGATGGAGCTGGAATATCCTATAGCAAAGCTTGATGAGCGCAGAGCAGGTTACATTCAATTTAGAAGCACACACTTCTTTTACGCCAGGTCACGAATACAATGGACTGCATCGTGTTCCCCAAAATGCACATGTTGAAGCCCTGACCTGCAAAGTGTCTGTATTTGGAAACAAGGCCTTCAGGAGGTCATTAAGGTCAAATGAGGTCATCAAGGTGAGATTCTCATCCAAAGGATTAGTGTCCTTACAAGAAGAGACGCCAGAGAGCTCTCTCCCTCTCATGAGAATCAGCTATTTGGATCACCTGCATTTCGCCAGGGCTGGTCTGATTCCTGCGTGTCTTTCCTAAATTCTTTGCGGCCTCCACTGGCTAGCCTCTACAACACATGCCTTGAACGAGAAACACAAGCATGCGTGTCTGTTCACCATCGCTTGCACAAGTTACAGCCCAAAGCCGACCTTCAAGAAGAAGTCTCCCACAGAGGAACACGCTTTGCAGAGATGTTACACAGCTGCACCCTCAGGTGCCTTTTGCGTGACTGTGGGTGCCCCGTGGAGCCCCAGGTCTCAACAGCCTCCCCTCGCAGGGGCTGTCTTGGTTACCCTCACTCAAGCGAGGCCCCCAGAACAAAGACTGTCTGAGGTCTCAAAGTGCACTCAGGGCCCCTCCACCAAGCAGAACCGACGTCAGGCTTTGAAGTGACAGCGTTTCGGATCCGACCTCTGAGACTTCAAAGTACGGAGGGTCACCGTTAGGTCACGGCTCACGATCGAGCACCATGCAGCCGCTTCTGCAGCAGCTTTCTGAGAAGAACAAATCTCACAGGCTCTTGGCAGGGGACAGGAGGCTCAGGCTGAATTGAGGTAGAGGGATATCCACTTGTCCTTCCACTTCAAGCTCTTGGATTTCACCTTGACCTGCCATGGATGCTCCCTGAGACGCCCATTCATGGTTCTGTGTCCTAGGCTTGGTAGAGACGCCAGCTCCAGGTGTAAAAAGCACGAGGTGGCTGCGATGTAGCTTCATGGGGCACTCCCATCCCTCTAAAAAGCTCCACTCTTGTGGATCTTGAGTTCCTTGTCCCCTCAGCAGTAGGGTTCTCACGGTGGCCTTGGCCGTCTTTCCTTGGCTCTCTGGAAGGTCGTTGCCCTCGGCACAGCTTACCCTCAAGGATCCATGGAGGGCGGTCTGGTGTGGGCATCTCCACCATCTCCACATGGTTCCTATGCGGGGACGCCTCTGTCCCTGCCTCCTGACTGTTCTGCACACCAGGCTCTCCTCACTCCCACACAGATTGCTCTTCTCAATTTCTCTCCTCACTGATCTATTAACAAAATCCTTTTGAACCTCTATTAGTCTCCACAGTCACCTACCAGGTCTCAGCCATTTCAAGCGTCTTTGCAATTACTGTTTATTTGTGGCAACTTGCTACGAGGCTGCTATCTTACTATTCCAAATGTCGTTAGTATCCCGTGGCAGCTACACAGCATTAAAATAATGACTTTCAGCTCCATAGAGTCCCCAGAGAGGGACTCAAGAGGAATATAGTTGACAAATGCAGTTTGTGGACTAGCATTCTCTACATCGAAGGCTCCCTGGGGGCCAGTATCCCAAAGGAGGGTCAGTCCTTGGCCCTGAGGAGACATGGCCCAGATATGAAGCGGCTCCCGGCTTAGCAAGAGCTGGCTGTATTACCCTTCTCGGGCTGCCATAAGAAAAGTCCACAGATTGGATGGCTTTAGCAAAAGGAATTTATTTCTCATCGTTCTGGAGACTGGAAGCCCAAGATGAAGACGCCAGCAGGGTCGATGATTGCTGAGGGCTCTCTCCTTGGGTTGCTGATGGCCACCTTCTCCCTGTGCCCTCATGTGGCCTTTCCTCTGTGTGCACGTGGAGAGAGAGAGGAAGCAAGTGCTTTGGTGTCTGTTCTTATGGAGTTGATCCCATCACGAGGGCTCTACCCTCAGGACCTCATCTAAACCTAAGCATCTCCCGAAGGCCCCACCTCCAAACATCATCACACTGGCAGGTAGGGTTCAACACATGGATTTGGGGAGGACACAATTCAGTCCATAGCAACCATCAAGGAACAAGGATGTCCCCATCAGCCCTTAGCACCCAGGCCATGACTGGTCTTTGCCCAGATTGTGGGGAACTCAGGAGAAAGGGGTGGCTGGGCCAGCAGCCAGCAGTTCACATTGTCCAGGAGCTCTGGATAAGTTAGCAGGATTCACGTGCGAGGAGCTATGAAGAAGAACCCAGATCTCACCTGGGAGAGTTGGACTCACTCCATAGGTGGTCAGAGACAGAGGAGTCACCAGTGGAGGACTTCCAGAGAACTGGCCCTGTGTCTTCAGCACATCAGCCGTAAGCAGGTCTCTATGCTGGACCACATGGGGTGTGCAGAAGAGCCAGGGCCTCTGGAAGCAACTCCAGTGTCATGGTGGTGGTGGGACAAGATGGAGGGAGCAGGGTGAGGTGGATTCAGTGCTGGAGGGACCACAGAGAACCAAGTACCTGTGTGGATGTGGGGAGTCTCAAGTAGACCATGCAGGGTCTGGCTCCCAGCCGCTTGGGACAGGCCCCAGCTGTGCTCCTGGGACAGGCCTAGGGCAGCTCCCTGGGCTCTCACACTCAGTGTCCAGGTGGCTACTTTGACCTGGTCCTTTCTTGGTCCCTTTGACCAAGATTGTTAGATCACTTGGCCAGGGCCATCGGGAGCCAGCTCTTCTCTGGAACCAGTAAGTGTAGCCTAAGACAAGGTCACACAGCATCATAGGAGTCTATTTATTTGACAGGTCAGCTTAATCAAATCATTTTTTCCAATTAATTGTGCCAGTTTCATGCAGGTACACATCACAGCTATGTCTCGGGTTTTTCCAGACTAGGAGTACAAATAAGGTCACGTTTATGGCCAAACAATGTCTCCAAGCCTCCACCGGCTTTAGTAGCAGGAATTTCAGCCTTTTCCGTGACAAAGTTCAGCGTTCCCCAACTCACTGGCTGCCACTTGCTGTGGGCATTGGCACTTGCATGCATCAGCACCCTAACCCTGACCCTGACCCTGTGTCCCTGACCCTCTGCCCTTTCCATGCCTGACCGCTGACTGTGGGCTGGGCTTGGGCCCAGAGGCTGGATCCTCTGCAGAGCAGCCTGGCCTGCTGCACTGGGCCTGTAGCCACTCCCACAGACCCTGATGAGTCCCCTGTGACTCGAAGGCCAGGATGGGTCCCTGTGGGGAGAGAGAAGAGGTACCTCTCCTCCCCCTAGTGTGTTGGGATTGGTCAGGCTTCCAAGACTCACCCACAGACAGGTCCACAGTTGTCACATCCACCCAGGACTGCTCTACCCCTCCAAGGACATACACCTTATAGTCACACAGCTCATGAGTCTAGACTCATGCAAAGAGAGAAATTGGAGGAGGGGTGGTCCATATCTCCACCCACCCATGGACTCTGACCCCAATTCAGCCCAAATGTCCTGCTGCATATGGCAGCTTTCTGGCTTTCCAACAGTAACACAGGTGTGCTTCTGTCTAGGATGGCCATGGGACAGTGTAGCCAGCCCATAGGTAGGGGGGAGGATGTCCAGGGCTTGGGGCAGACGGGCAGGACTCATCTCTGGTCTGCAGAGCCCCTGACTCTGGCTGCTGGTTCCTGGAGGCCAGTCTGAGGGACAAGAGCCTCTGGTCCTGGTCATGATCACTCCTCCACACCCATTTCTACCCCTTCATTGACACCTTCTTCCTCACCCTTCCCTCCAGCCCCACAGAACACCACTTGACCACTGAGTCAGCTGAGAGGAAGGAGGAGAAGGCGGGGCTCCTGCCCTTTGATGGCTCTCAGTCAAGCTGGGGATTCTCGGGCAGGAAGCAGCTCTGCCCTCCATCCTTCCTGCCCGTCCCCCACCTCCTCACAGAGCCCCATCGCTTCAAGCCTTGGGCAATGGCCCAACCTCCACCTCTTCCTCCCTTCAGGGTTTTATCTAAATAGGTCCCTTCCCCCGCCACACAGTCACCCCTCCCTTCCATCCACCACTTGGCCATGGAAGCCTCTTATCCTACAGGTAGAAGGTGGTTGCTTTTCTTCCCAAACACCTTCCCCTTGTTTACAGTAAGTCTCATCTGTTACGTCTCATCCCACTCATTCTGTCTTGCAAAACTGCCCCACGTTTATCCTTATAATCATTTTACTCTCTGGAGCAGCTGAGTCACCGGAAGCTTTCGGCTGTCGCTGCCGCTCCTTCTCTGGATCATTGAGGAGCCCAATCGAAGCCGTGATTCAATTGTTCAGAGTTTCCAACCAGGAAGTGCCAAGAGCCCTGTGCCATTGAGATGGTGGCTCCATTCCTGCCTGACTCAGTTTCTCCCTGTCACCACTGGAGGGGGACAGCTCTGTGGACAGTGCCTCCCTGGCCAGATGCCCAGCCAGGATTCAGGTGGGCAACACAAACACATGTTCCTTATTCTTCTCTCGCTGAACTAAATTAGACCTGATTCTTTCTCCCGGTTCTCAAGGAAACCAAGTCTAATTAACAACTTCTCAGGCTGTTCAAGACAGCAAGCTGATCACGTCTAGGAATTTCCCTTCTCCACCGCCTCACCTCCCTCTGGGCGAGCACTAAAACTCCATGCTGTGACATCCTGATGGCACTGGGGGAGGGGCAGTCCACTTCCAGCCCTTGGCCTTCTTCCCTCCCCGGGTGTATCCTGTCCCCTCATGGCTCTCAGGTGTCACCAACATCTTTCCACACTGTCCTCACTGCTTCCACAAAGTGTCCACAGCTTCACCGCAGCCCCCCTCATCCTTCTGTAGCCTTCTTGTGAGCAAATAAAGGTTTGGCTGGCTTCCCAGACCTTTCTAAGGCCAATAGGAAACTTGGGGCTCTCTGTGTGTACTTGCTCTGCCTCGATTACCCCCACTTGCTGTCATCTCTGTGAGGTTGTTGGCCAACAGAGCCCAGAGGGATAGCAAAGTGTGAGTCTGCTCCACCCGGCATCCCCAAACTAAAAAGGAGCTTGATCCATTCTACGGCTCCATCTCTACCCAGGACACACTCCACCATGACCAACCCTCTTAGTTCTCGTTCCTAACTCCTTCCTCTCGTCCCTTCCAGAATCTTCTAGTCTACAGAAGGACAGGGAGAGCTGGGAAACAGCCTTATTCAGATGGTCTCATTGTCTTTCTCAATTCTTCTGCCTCATGATTTTGGACTTAAAAATCAAGAATTCACCTGGTTCTTAGGTTCTTCAGAGATCCCCAAACACTGCGTGATTTATGTCAAGCTGTCTGGGTGCTGCGGAAAGGTCTTTGGGGCGTAACTAGCAAAGACAGCATTTAATGAGCATCAAAATGGAAAGCGCCTTAGTAAATGTGCCATATATCATCCTGTCACATCCCAAACCTTGGAACAGGATATCCGCTGCTGGAATTTAGGGCTAGGGTTTGCTTTCTTTGATCAGGTCTTTCTTGGTAGCCCCTGTGGTCAGGGTATCCTGGAGGATTAGCTGGGCCCTGGAAGGCCGGTGGGCCATGATGCCCATGCGGAATTCTTTGATGACAAAGTAGTAGCAGAAAACATCCAGGCAGCAGTTGACGTTGGAGAAACACATGGACAACTGCACGAACAAGCTGATGTTCTGCTTAGCTCTGCACTCCACAATAAAGCCATTCCTCACCAGGAACTGCAAGAAGAATGCCAGGTGGACTGGAAGAAAGGAGACCACGAACACAGCCAGATTGGCCGCGATAGTCCAGATGCAAGCCTTACGCTGGACCCAGTCCTGGTTATGATCCCGACGGCCAATCAGAATGCGGATGCTCCTGGAGGAGCAGAAACCCATAACGGCCATGGGAAGAAGGAAGCCGAACACCTCAAGGGGGAAGACGACCTTGGCACTCCAGGTGCTATCAGACATATTGTGGAAGCATTTGTAGGTTTCCACTTGCCCGTGGAAGTTGTAGATAGGGATACTCCCAGCCCACACCAGGACCCAGATGATGAAGCAGATCCCAAAGATCTTCCTGGGGGACCGGAGGTGGCTGACCTGGATGGGGTACTGGATGGCCAAGAATCTGTCCAGGCTGATGAAGCAGATCGTGAAGACACTGCCATACATGCTGATGAAATAGAGGCATTCCGCCAAGGTACAGAAGGAAGGGAAGGGTGTCGGCACGTGGTTCAGGACCGTCTTGAATGGCAGGGAAAGCACCAGCAGCAGGTCAAAGACCGCTAGGTTGATCATGTAGATGGAGGTGGCAGCGTAATCCAGACACCTCTTCTGCAGGAAGGTGCAGAAGCCTCGGATGGCTAGCACGTTGAGGAGCAGGCCCAGGAGGAAGGTGGGGACATAGACTGCCAGCTGCACGCTTTTCATCAGCTCATCCACGTCACTGAAGGAGCAGTCTTCACTTTTGTTGCCCTGGCTCATGTTCTTTCCTACAAAGTCAAAAATAAATTAGCTGGAGTTCTTCTCACTCTCTGAAAGTGATGGTTTCAAACGACTTTGTCAAGAATAATAAACACCTCCCCTTTATCACACAGCAATTCGTGCTCATTGAATAACAATTAGAAAACACAGGAAAGAAAAATTACTCTAATGCTGCCCAGATATAACCACTGTTAGTTTTTTATGTGTCTCATTCCAAACGCACTCTCCCTCTCTTTCTGGACACACACACACACACACACGTGTGCCTTTTTCTTTTACAAAAAAGAACTGCGTATGAACATCTGCCCCTTTTTTTCAATCAGAACGCCTTCTGTCAAAAGTAGTAACAAAAACACAAATCCTGACCCAAACCAGTTTAAGCAAAGAGAGAATTTCTTGTAACTGAAAACTAGGGCAGGGCTGACTTGAGCTGCCGCTCCATCAGGGATTCAAACGCTGTTTCCAGGACCCAGCTCCTCCTTATACGTTGTCCCTCTCCCCTCCCCCACCTACATTCCTGAAGACTGGACAGAGTTGCCCCACCCCTGACTGAAGGGCTGGCGGCAATCAGCACATAACATTCCCCTGTATCTGGTGATTGGTTCGTTCATTGGTTCAAGGATGGACATTTGACCACCCAGAGGCAATGAAAGGCAACAAAACTCTTGCTTGGGTTACCAGGAAGCGGGTTGGGGCTCTTTCTGTGGATTTGAAGTTGGAAAGACAGAAAGTCTGGAGCTGCTGCAGCCTTGTGCTACCCCGAGGAGAAAACCAGACAGAAAATGGAGAAACATGGAAGAAAAGACATTTGCAGAGGAAAGGAAGTGAGGGCTTGAGGTCTCCACAGGGCAAAGAAAGGCCTTCAGACAGGTAGAAAGCTAGAACTGGTCTCAGGGAAAAGAGGACCAAGGCCGCAGGTGTGGCTGCACAGGGAGGCTGGGTGCCGGCAGACAAGGAGGGGGTCACAAGTCAGGCCAAGATGAGAGTCTGAGGCAGGCCCTGGCCGGGTCTTACTTAAGAGCCTGGCCAATTTGGGGGTTGGGGGGTGCATGTTATGGTGGAGTTCTATACCAAGATAGGGGGCTGTCTTCGTTTGGGCTGCTATTACAGAATACCATAGACTGAGTGGCTCATAAACAGCAGACATTTGTTTCTCACAGTTCTGGAGGCTGGAAGTCCAAGATCAGGGGCCAACATGGTCTGGCAAGGGCCCTCTTCCAGGTTGCAGGTGGCTGACTTCTCACTCTGTCCTCACATGGCAGAAAGAGGGCAAGAGAGCTCTCAGGGGTCTCTCTTCTAAGGGCACTAATGCCATTTGTGAGGGTTCCACTCACAAGACCTAATCACTTCCCAAAGGCCACACCTCCTCACACCGTCAGTTGGGGGTTAGATTTCAGTGTGTGAACCTGGGAGAGGACCCAAACATTCAGTCCATAGCAGCGGCCCTGGAGCAGATCAAAACCAGGAGATGTTCAACCCAGGCCTCCAGAACCAGTGCTGCTGGGCAGAGAATTCACGTATGATCAAACCTCCACCCACCTCCCTCCTTTCTCACCCATGCTTCCTCCGCCCAGATGAGGCCCATCTGCTGGCGTGACTAGTCCTAGACACTGAGCATGCCACGTCCACGAGGACACAGGGTCCTGCGTATGAGAGATCACTCACACTTGGCTTCTTCCTTCCCCGCCTCGCCAGCAGGCAGCTGGGTGAGCGAGTTCCCACCCTCAGAGACGTCCCAGCAGCGGGGGCTGAGATCCAAGACGCAGACGTGGCAGGGAGAAGGCACGAACACAGTCTTTCACAGAGAATCCCGTGCTGTGACCAGTGCAGCTACTCCTTGAGCTTATGTTATTCTACTAGTTGTTTGTTTTTTTTTAATGATTGGCCCTGAGCTAACATCTGTTGCCAATCTTCTTTTTTTTTTCTTTTTCTTTTTCTCCCCAAAGCCCCCCAGGACATAGTTGTATATTCTAGTTGTAGGTCCTGCTAGTTGTGGCATGTGGGGTGCTGCCTCAGCATGGCCTGATGAGTGATGCTAGGTCTGTGCCCAGGATCCAGACCGGGGAAACCCCGGGCCGCAAAAGCAGAGCATGCGAACTTAACCACTCGGCACAGGGCCAGCCCATAGTTCGTTTTTTTAATTAAAAAAGTATTCCATGCACTCAATAAGATTCAAACAGTACAAAATAACAAAAGAAAGGAGATTTCATGGTACCCCAGGGTCTCAGATGTCCTTTCCAGAGGTAACCATGGTTAACAGTTTTGTCCATACATTTTCCAGAAAATTTCTAAGTATATGCATATATATATATATATATGTACATACATATGTATGCATGACTCTTCTTTAAATTTGGAAAATATTATACCCACAGCTCTGTTCTTGCTTTTTCACTTTACAGTGCTTCTTGGAAATTGTTCCACGTCAGCATCTATGAATTGACTTTTTCTTTCTAACACTGCAATGGCGCCATTGCAGCCTATTGCATGGATAGGCCATAATTCATCCAGCTGGTAGCCTCTTGATGAACACTTAGATTTCCTAGAGTTTTACTGGAAAACAAAAAAATTCCACAAAAAAATCACTGTGATTTATTTCTTTGCTGCACCGCTATTGCTGAGAGAATTCCTGTTCTGCTACTGTTTCTCATCACTGCAGTCCCCTTGGGAGTCTTTGGAAGGAAGGATTTGGATATTTTTAAGACTCTATATAGAATGTCATTCCCAAATCCTCTCTAACTGCTAGGGAAAGAGAGGGGGAAAGAAAAAAAAAATATATATATATATATATATCACCCATTGAGCGCCATGTAATAAACATTAAACATACATTACTTGATTTGGTGGCTTTCCTATGTGTCAACTTTCCGTACTGGTTTATGTCATAAGAGATCTAGGAAAATGTATTTGCTCATAGTCAAAGCTTTAGATTCCTGTGGTCTGTGTGAATGGCGCCTGCTGGAGTTGCACAGTGTAGAGCCCCGGGTATAACTCTTTCTACCCAAAAATGCCTAGAACACGTGCAAGCTGGCAGGCTGTCTCCTCCTGACTATGCCAGCGTATCCACAGGCCTGTCTAAAAAAATAGCCAGAATAACCAACAAGATAATTTCTTGGAACCAAGATCAATTTCAGAAATGATAAGAAAAGCAGGCAAAAACCCAATCCATTTCTGACTGAGAAGTGCCGCAACAGTAAAGGGGAGGACTCAATTAATTGGCTTACGGAAGTCACCTCCAACATCAGAAACAGCAGAAAACCAAGAACCACAAAGATAACAGCGAAGACGTGTTTGTATTTAAAGAGCTTCAAAAAAGGAACTTAAGGCATCCGTTTGGGGCTAGGTATCACTCAGGCATACTCCATGGATGGACCCAGCACACTGCTGATGATCAAAGACAGAACTAAAGTAGGCAAAAAGAAAAAAAGTCAGTCGTGCTCAAAGATAAACTCAAACCCAAATATGGCTGAATTGAACAAACCAATGAAAAACAAAGGGATAAAAATGGTCTGGCGGAAAGCACACAGTCTAGGATGCCGGGGCTTGTCTGAACTGACAGTCCCAGGTGTATGTGTGGGAAATAGACACCATTCAGCTATCAGTGTTCTCCAGTTGGTTGATCCTAAAGGTCACATCTGGAACACTGACAGACTTCAAATGGGAACTTTTCAAATGGCAATCTTTGAAGCCAGAGGAAGCACTCTATCGGCTGGCAAAAAAGAAATTAGGCTGAAAAAAAGTGCTTCCAGCTCATGGCACAGTGAGCAGAGCATTTGAAAAATTAATCCTCTGAATTCCCTCTGAAAGTTCAAGGAAATCATCTTTTTAAAAATCTTTTTAAAGAAAAGATCAGGAACTTCACTGGATTAAGATAAAAAGGCTCCAGCCTGCAGTAAGGGTTGAAACGGTCACTTTTCTCAAAGATGGGTTGCCAATAAAGACCAGTCCAATTGTAGTGGGGGCCAGCGATTCCCCCACACTTGACCTGTTGCCTGGGGCCATTGATGTCTCCTGTTCTGGCCAACCCAGGATCCAAACCAGTCCATCGGTGGCACTGTAAGGTGGGTGGGTGAGAGCCTGAGAAACACATGCTAAGATGGTGTTAGACGTTTGAGAGATTTATTGGAGGAAATGTCTTCAATGAAGGGGAGAGGGAGCAGGAGTAGATAGGGAGAGCCTTCAAACCACAAAGCAGGTCTGACACCCGTGGAAGGAGAGCAGGAAGGAAGGACCTGGTAGGAAGAGCTTCAGACCACAGTGCAGCTCTAAGAACGTCTTAGCCAGGCCGATGGGGAGTTCCTAAGCACAGGCTGCCCACTGGGGGGGCAGGAATCACCCAGGGCTGGTACCTCTGCCGAGCTTAGTCATTAGCTGGAAGCAGCCCAAGGAAAGTGTGGCCCCGGCATCAACATCACTCTAGAGCTGAAAGGGCAGAGCTGGGCTGTCAGTCACCAGCGCTCCCGGCAGGTACCAGGTTCTCCTGAAGGCAGGTTGGAGCCCCCAGCTGCACCTGATAGCCAGCGCAGAGGCTGTCCCGACGCCTCCACTTACGTTGGAATCTGGGGAGTGTGTCACAGGCAACAGTGGGGCCATTCCTGATTCCCATTCCCAGCAGGCCCATCTGTAGTGTGTTATCTTTCTTCGGCAGGGATGGTGGGTCCCTTTGCCTCACAGAGGATTTGAATGGGCCTTGGTCCCAGTCTCGTACCAGGAAGGAAATAGAATTGAATGGGGGTAGGTTATGGGTCAAGCAAATGGTGTCTGTGAACAGACCAGAAGGGACGAGGATGACCTTTGTTGGTCATCAGAAGCTTGATGCCCGAGAGGCAGGGCTGAACTGAACAACAGAGCAGACGAGAAGTTGGATTAAAGGAGCCAAGTTTCATGCAAAATTTATGGAGACAGAGCCTCTCCTAGACGTTCCACTTTCATCTTTAAATGTCATTAATACAGAACCTTACAAACATCTGTGAATAAACACACCAAGTTCCTTGGAAATGTCTCTGAA